TGTGGGACTGCGGCGGCCAGGACACCTTCATGGAGAACGACTTCACGAGCCAGCGAGACAACATCTTCCGGAACGTGGAGGTGCTCATTTACGTTTTCGACGTGGAGAGCCGCGAGCTGGAGAAGGACATGCACTATTACCAGTCGTGCTTGGAGGCCATCCTGCAGAACTCGCCCGACGCCAAAATCTTCTGCCTGGTGCACAAGATGGACCTGGTGCAGGAGGACCAGCGCGACCTGATCTTCAAGGAGCGGGAGGAGGACCTGCGGCGCCCGCTCGAGTGCGCCTGCTTCCGCACCTCCATCTGGGACGAGACGCTCTACAAAGCCTGGTCCAGCATCGTCTACCAGCTCATCCCCAACGTGCAGCAGCTGGAGATGAACCTGAGGAATTTCGCCCAGATCATCGAGGCCGACGAAGTGCTGCTGTTCGAGCGCGCCACCTTCCTGGTCATTTCCCACTACCAGTGCAAGGAGCAGCGCGACGTCCACCGCTTCGAGAAGATCAGCAACATCATCAAGCAGTTCAAGCTGAGCTGCAGCAAGTTGGCCGCCTCCTTCCAGAGCATGGAAGTCAGGAATTCCAACTTCGCCGCCTTCATCGACATCTTCACCTCCAACACCTATGTGATGGTGGTCATGTCCGACCCGTCCATCCCGTCCGCCGCCACCCTCATCAACATTCGCAATGCCAGGAAACACTTTGAGAAGCTCGAGAGGGTGGACGGCCCCAAGCACAGCCTCCTCATGCGCTGAGTGTCGCCAGATGCTGGGGCTGAAAAAGTTCAGTTGCCTTTTTTTTTTTTTTTTTTGCACTTTTTAAAGTATTCATAATGCTGTGTACTTGCTTAAAAGTGGGCTTTGAAATGTGTTTATTCCTCCTCACCTTCTTTTCTTTAAAACACTGGACGCTCTCTGGTCAGCCTTCCTGAAAAGTTGGGTGTGCTGTTAACACTAGCTGGTCTATGCGTGTGTTCCGATTACTTGGTTATGCTAGATGTGCGCAGCGAAGCCCCGAGCGACCTCACTGTTGTATCCCTTATTAGATTGCAAAGACGGAATATTATTTTGTCAGCAAGGAATTAAAATGCATTTATAAACGCTTCTTAGCTTCAATCACGAATGTTTGCTGTTAGCAACTTAAAGGACAGCATGTTAACTGATGTAATTTGAAGGTGGTTTCATTGTCGAGTACCTGCCTGCACCTACTGCTTTGCAGGCAAATTTGCTTGTCCTCTGCACCCCATCTCCTTAGGGACGGGCCTGGCACCTGCAGCAGAATGGCTCCTTCTGGTCCTGTCACTATGTGAATCTGGGCAAGACAACTCATCTGTCCTTGTTTTCCACCTCTGCCAAATGTGGGTTAAAATGCCATTACTAAATGTGATTGTTAAAAGGATTAAGGTCCGGAAAGCATCTAGAATCGTGCCTGGCATGTAGGGATAGTGTGTTAGCTGCCATTACCACCTGTTGAGACATGTCTCCTCTACCTTAATGGTTGGGCTGTCATGTGTCATCAAGTCAACTGCGACCCACAGCAACCCTATGAACATTAGCTCTGAACCCTGCTCTATCCTGAGCCAATCTCACCAAAAACCTGTCAGCAGTTAAGACCCACCAGGAACTCTTCTGGGGGAAGATCTGCTTCTGTAAAATGTCACAAGCATGGGAAACTAGGTTTCTGTCCTCTAGGTTTGAAAAGAGCTGGATTTAGCTCTATGGCAACAGGTGGTTAAATTCCATTTGAAAGGGACCTCTGATCTGGCCTCTCACTTGACACAAGAGGCAAGAGGGAGGTAGTAACTGCAAGTGATAACATTCAGAATTTCCAGGGCTTTGGAGAATTATTAAATCCATTCTAGTTATGGAGACAAGTACCTTAACCATTAAGACCAACAAGCTATTCAGATGTAAATCATAATAAAGCACATCTAATTGGGACATTGATGTAGTATAATCAATCACTAGATCTCTCTAATTTCTTAAGTTATATATCTTTATAGATTATTTCATGATTTATCTGACATAGTCCTTTTTCTAGGAAATTCCAAAGCGAGACAGATGGTATAATATTGAATATTTATTTAAGACAAAAGTAGAGTATACAGAACATACTAACATAATAGTCCCACAAAAAAACACATATTTTGAATGAGAAGGACTTCAGTTTTCCCACCTTGCTTAAGGAGAAAGGTATGCAAGTATTTATCTACAACTGACCGAAATACTAATAACCTTATTTACATTGAGGGAAATGTCCTAATTTTTTAAATAAATGTTTTAAATAAACTCAGAAAAGAAAATGTTAGGGTTTTTTTTAAATTATAAATCTCAAAAATTCTTCTTTAACTTTTAAGTAATTTGACTTTGTATATAATGGTGAAGAAACACATGGTCAGGAAATGCTTCAATATACTTAGTATTTTTGTTTTCACTGAAGTTCTTCCAAATATTTTTAACTTCAGATATTCTGTATTCCACTTAGCATTTTTTCAAGTTTTGTCCTTTTTAAACATTTAAAATTAAGACATTTTGGCAATATTTAAGGCTTCAATGTAGAAATTAGTTTCCATGTACCTTTGTATCTTAAAATTATTGAGTAAAAAGGTGCTGTGAAGAAAAATACATATCTAGGAATATATTAGCTATATTAAATTTTATCAAGTATAAGTCAATGCCAACTTTCAAATAGTTGTCAAAAATAGCCTATGGTCCTAGGGGGTCTATATGGATACAAATATACATATATGTACATTTCTACTAGGTATGAACAGAATTGTCTAGAGAAATCACAGCCATGAAAAAAATGTAATAAATAAAGCGAGCAAAACACATTCACATAAACCAGACTTCTGAAAAGGAGCAGGCACATGCATGTGGAAAGGACAGATTTAAGACTTCAACACAAAGTGAGATTTCTCCTGAGCCCCAAGAGCTGTAACTGAAAAGTTAGGAGGGGAAGGAAAGGAACTGCAGCCTCCTAGAATCGGAAGTTAGGACGTGTTGTACAGGTCCAGGCTCACAGGAACATGGCAGTGAAAATCCTATCACGGGTAAGGCAAACGGAGAAAACCTATGTATGAAACCTTAGAAGCCTTTCAGTCTGAGCTGTATTCTGAAAAGGAAATGGAATAGTGGATATTTAACCAAAGAAGTGACTGAAAGCAGTTCACTGCCAAAAGGAGGTACTGGACAGGGGACAGGCTAAGGGCTACAATCTTAGAACACAACTAGAAAAACAGATGTCTGTTAACTATGCCCATCAATTTTATAAGACAATGAAGGCTAGTGTAAAATATGTTGCATACAAATTTTGTATGCAAACCAATATAATTTTAAAAAAATAATACAGGTATGTATCACTTAACATCCATGATAATAGTGAAATAGGATGGTACATGATTTAGATGTTATTCAAACATTAGATATTAAATATAAGCAGTTCCTGTGCAAGCCATCATTAAATCCCATAAAACCCCTTAACAAGGGAGCTCTGGTAACCTAATGGCAAGAAGCTGCACTGCACTCCCAGAGATGCATGGTTCGAATCCATCAGATGCTCTGCTGGACGAGGGGCAATCTCCTCCTATACCAGTCAGATCCGATTTGACGGTACACACACACACAAAATAAAATCAAAAAAGAAAAAGCCATAATGACCTTCCTGGACCTGCCTGGCTAAGTGGTGTATGGCTTCAATAAAAACAAAATAAAACCCCTTAACAGTAAAACCTTATAGGAGTTAGTCAGCCAAAGCCTGAAAGCTATAACCACTGGATAGAAGAACCCTTGTCCGACCAGGAGAGCTGTGCCCCTGGAGGATACTGCCGCCCCATCACTGTGGTCACTGCCTGGGGTGGCGGCTGGTGATGGGCAATGAAGCCAGGAGGAGGGTAATGAGGAGAAGCTGTGGGGACTGAGACACAACATGAAGCACTGCTGGTTATTCACTCTGGGGGACTTGGGTCTCTTAAAAAAAATAAGGGAGCTCTGGTGGCCTAGTGGCAAGAAGCTGCACTACAATCCCAGAGGCACAAGGTTTGAATCCACCAGATGCTCTGCTGGAGAAGGAGGGCAGTCTCCTCCTATACTAGAAGAGTCCAATTTGATGGTGCACACACAAAAATAATTTAAAAAAAAAAAACCAAACAACTTTATAAAAGCATGGATATATATGCAGTCAGATGTTACCCAAATGGGCATTAAGCAATACATACCTTGTACTATAATATACAGAATCATCTAAAAAACTATGAGTAACCACAGTTACAGCTCACTCAATAATATTCTTTTTATCAAATAATGTCAAGAACCAGTCATTGTTTTTAAAGGTTCCACAAGGTTAAGTGTGACTCTATAACCTTGGCAGTAGTTACAGGCTTTTACTGAGACTGAAAATTGGCAGAGAAGCCTTTTGAAAATGTAGATTCCAAATTCCCACTTTAGAACAAGAGACTCCAGTTTGGCACTTTGTAAATGCTGGTATGATAAACCAACGTCCACCCTACCATGCTCATTTTTAATTTCAGGTACTAAGTCTTCTTAAACCAGGTCAGAGTCCTGGTTGTTTTATTTCTATCTTGTCTCACAAAGACTGGACTTCAAAACAAGACAGAATAAAGTAACCCATGATGGGTGAAGAGAGAGAAACTATTAGGCCCATCTATTTTCTATTGGGCTACGGGACAAGGCTTTGACGGTTAGGGTTCAATAGAGGTGCCATCACCTTTCCAATGCTTGTTTCAATCCTCCTGCAATGGCCAAAAGCTCATTTGGGTGCCAGACACAAGCCTGATCCTGTGCCAAAGCTGTTAGGCAGGAGACAGCACCTCACCTGTTCCTGACTCAGAACCCAGAAGCCAACAGAAGGTCCTCCTCCTAAAGCCTCATCCTACGCCTGACCTTCCAGCAGCATATTAAAAAAGTAATTTTAAAACACTCAAAACCCACTGTCACTGAGTACACCCTGGCTTCACAGGTCAGGTGGATGACAACTTAAGACCTGAGCTTCAGTTTTCAAGGGATGTGGGGGCTATTCTACAGGCAACAGGGGTTTTGAGTAGGAGAGTAGTGTGATCCAATGATCAATTTCATTCTCTTAGCAAAAGTAACACCTTCCCTTCTAAACTAAAAAAGGTAAAAAACCCAACAACAAACTACAAAATCATTAACTTTTTTTTAAAAAAATATATATAACATGAAACCCACAGTCTAAATTAGACCAATACAAATCTATCACATAAGCCACAGAATGGATTTATAGTTTGACGGTGTTCCTTAAAAGTGTCCCCATTCTTGGGGCTGTCTCAAGAGTCTCTCATTACCCCTCCAGGATGGTGGTTGAGTCCACACACAAGCAGAGGGGACCAGGGACCTAGGAGGTTCCTAGAGTTGTTTCAGGGGCCACTGTCTTTTTGGCTGTCCCCCTCTTTGTGAAGGCAATGGCTTCCAAAAATCCTGCATGCGGTCATCCTTGGGCCACCTGGCTCAGGCAAGGGCAGTGTGTGCCAAAGGAATGCCCAGAACTTTGGTCCTTGGCATCTCTCCAGTGGCCACTTATCACAGGAAACATCAATGCAAACATAATGCAGAACACAGGGAAAGGTCTCTAGGCTCCAGATCATGTGGTAACATGCCTGATGATCATGTGATCACACGCCTGATGATGTCAGAGCCGGAGAACAGGCGTGGCCAGCACAGGCTACTAGATGGTTTTCCTAAGACTTCAGCACAAGCAGAAGCCCAGGACAGTATCT